GGGCAGCCTGAGCTGGTGGGGGCATCTCTGGAGAGATGGAGATTGGAACAAGGTGGACTTTAAGATCTCTTCCAACCCAAGTCACTCTATTATTATAAGACAAGAGCAATCTTTCTGCTTTGTAAAGCAGTCTTTTCCTGACTATCTTAATGAATGATGCAAAAAATTGCTCTTACAGATAATTTCAGCTGTTCCAAATAGTAGACATAAAACAGGATTAAGGAATCTGAAGTCGTAAAATCCACACTTCCTCTTTTCTTTTTCCCAGAATTTCTCTGTGAGCATAGGAGATTTCAAAATCATTACAGTTATTTTTTATTAAATGATTTTTAGAAATATACTGGAGTGGAAATCTCACTACACAGAAATTTAAATTAGTTTCTTCAGATTTATAATTGAGTCACAATTTCACTCTGGGAGCATTACTCTGTGAAAGAGAGACCTGAGATTTTTCCTCTACTAAATTTTGTAACTTGAAGTCCAGAAAGAGTAAGAGAGAGAGAAGATCAGGTGGAAGGACTCTGAAAGGTCAGCAGATGGGATAAAATGAGGTTACCCGATCCTCCTATGAAACCTGCAAGTCAGAAATTATGTTGAACTTTTCAAAAAAAACCCAAGTTGTTTCAAAAGAAAAAAAGTTGCTGTGGAGGAAATAGGTTCATTTCACTACTTGAATCTACATTTTGGTTTCTGAACAATTAAATGTGAGTAGATGAATCATGAGATGGAGGACAAGGTATACTGAAAAAGCAAGTTCCTTCCTCCTCTGAATTAGTCTTAATTTCTTCATTGTTTTTTATTTTCTTTTGTGTTTACAAAAAGGGAACTTTTTCACAGTGTGAAATGTAAAAAAAATGCAGAAATGAGGTAATGACATGTAAGAATGTAATAAATGTTCTTCATTTTACTTTTTCCTCAAGGGAAAAGAGAACAAAACCATGCAGCAGGGCTATCAGGTCAGATCACAAAACCATCTGCTCCAAAACTCCATCTTTACTACTTCTCTGTTAAAAGGTGAGTGGGGGAAGATCAAATATGCTTCAAAATCAAAATAGAATAAGCAATACAGATCTCAGAAAATCAGCCAAAATCAAATTGAAAATCACAGTGTGTGTTCCTTGTTTCACTTAGCTCCAAAGTTGGATGGTATGACCCCTGGCTCTTCGCCCATTTTAACACACGGACTGCTACCCTGAGCAAGAATTGCATGCTCAGAGATACATCACACTTAGTATTTAAGCCTCTGTGCTCTGCTTAGAATCCTTTTTGTTGTTCTCAATGTCCTAGCTACATTCTATAAAGACCATCTGAGTTTTGCTCAGGCACAGTTTCTTCTAATTTTCATTAGGCTGGTTCATATGAGTTCTTTGGGTGCCTCAGTGGAGGATTTTAATCATATTGTGCTCTCTGTGCTACAGTGATCGCAACGCTAATCTCTGTAATTCCACATTTGGGATCTCACTTTTCAAAGTGTAAACAACTGACTCTGACTGTATAACGAACATTTTTCCATAGGGAATACAAAGATAGAGTCATAGAGAAGCATCATAAGCAAGGAGCTGAAAAAAAAAACAAATCTAATCACAATAGGAGAAGTAAGTTATTGTCAGTTTCTTTTCCTTGTTCTGTAGAATGTGTACGAATAAAATATGTATGAATAATATGTTGTAAGGGAGAAAACTTTGCCCCTTTCTACTTATAAACATCAGACACACCATCTTTATAGGAAAACTTGAAGGAGAAACTGAATCTCAGCATTTATAACAATGGAAGAACAGGTCAGGAACATCTCAAAAAAACAGGAAAAAAGATTAGCATAAATAGAATGTGGACTCAGAGGGAAGAATAAAAGTCTAATAAAATATTTATGCTTCTGTCCATCTTAAAATCTGATGCACTGCTAAGATCACTAGCAGCTTTTCAAATCACATGTTTTAATTTTGTTTTTCTGATTTCAGAGTTACTTTGTTTACCACCTCTGAAATTCTCTTATTATTAAGAGCTAAAAATTTCCAGTGACTCGTTTACCCAGCTCCATCTCTCAGCTCTTCCAAGTGTGTTGCACAAACACAGAGGCAACAGGACTCAGCTGTTCAGATAAAGCTAGTCTGGGAAAAAAAAAAGGATATTTTAAGAGAAAATAACTTCAGCAATTCCTAGTGGTCTTTGAGCTTCATAAACAGTAAGAACTGTGAGACAATCGTGCAATCATGTTGTAATACTATTTAATGGCCTTTGCTGTTACCATTATTCATACAGGAATTATATTGACTTGTAATTCCTTGAAAAGAAGATCCTTTATAAAATCTGTATTACTGAAATCCTTGAAATCTTTTACCATTACTCAGATTGCTGATGAATTCATAGGATTTATGAATGCCTCAAGTGTCAGAATGCTTCAGCATGAGACTAAATTTAGAGAAGAAAAAGAGAAAAGCAGACCTATAATTACAGTTCTGCAAAGAGAAAATGCAGGCTTCGTGCCAATTCCTGCATTAACTATCCTAAATCTATTAAGGTATTTATTCCACCTCAATTAATTTGCACTGTGGCATTAATAACGGCGCAACTCCTGTACTCTTGATCTCAGGGTGCAGCACCATTAACTCTGCAATGTTCTAACATAAAAAATGTCTAAATATCCTATGAAAATATGCGTATTTTAGAAAATTTACCAAGCAGATGAAGCTTGGGATAATGCAGTTATTATGTTTGCAATGCTCTTACATATCATCTAATACATTACAGAAAGGGTCACAGAAGGACCGTTTTTAAGCGATGAGGCCAGAATAAAATCTTGTTGCAAGATAACAAATTTTTGCCCATGCCAGAAATTAACAGCATTACAATGGATATAATATCCTCTCTTAACTATTCTTTTTCACGTTATCACACCAATGCTATTTTTATATGAGAAGTAATATATTTTATTTAGCTATTGTTCATCTCTTCCTCCAGTTTGAAACACAACATACTTTAGCATTTCATAATCTACCCTGTTTATTACAGAATACAGACTTATGACTGAAGGAAATCCTGTGTTTCAGTGACTTTGTCATGATATGTTCTTTGAAATTCTACACAGGAAATTTATTAAATGCAAAATTTCATGATTAAGTATGTACTGCATGGAAAGATGAGGATTGATGGTTAAAGAGATTCTTCTAGCTGAAATATAACTTCTCAAGTAAATCTTTTACGAAATCCAGGAAAGAGTTAAATGCTTTTTGTAAAAAATCAGCTAATCAAGACTTTCCAAATGCTTAGGCAGCTTCTATGAACTTGGATCACAGGAAAAGGGAAAGGATTTGATTCCCACTGGAGTCCCTTTGCATTTAATAATCATTAGTTCTGTAAGACCTTCCTTCCAATTGATTATGCAAGATTGATTCTTTTTCACTTCCATCCCTCACAGAATTTCTCAGGGGTCTCAAACCTCCATCTTCCAGATCTCACTCTAGAAAGCACATGGAGTAATGAGGAGAAAGAATTGCTGAAAATTCTATTCTTTCCCATATTTCTATTTGGAATTTAATTGATCAATCAACATTTCTTCTACCCATTGTGCTTAGTCTTCTTGCCTAAGTATAAAATGCCTATAAACTGAAAGACTTCTGTATACTTTGATTCCTCAGTATGTTTGCCATAGCTTCTTCAGAGTCATACAGATCAATGATCTGACCAATACTTCTAATGTACAGTAGCATTTTTTTAAAATACGATGAATAAAATACCACAGGTCTGCATTTAGAACTAGAAAATGAACAACATGCTAAGGTCTTTTCATGCATAATAGCATTTATACGATGTGGTGATAACTGTTGTCAAAAAGGACAATGAGTGCTGAAGGACAAGACAAGCATTTATAAAAGTTGTATCTTCTGTGTTTTACATCTTTCAAGATCCTGCTCTTTCTTTAGGGTGATGGTAAAGGATAGAGCTACCCAGGGACCAGACATAGTCTTCAACTTTGCTTTAATGGTTTACAATCAAGGAAACTTTTTTCCATGTTACCATTTCACAGCATTAAGACGAGTACTAAAATGTGCTTCATCAAGGGGATTTTACTGACTGGCTCAGCACTCAACCAGGAAGATTTCCCATTTGGGCCTTAAGTGTTCTGAAAGTTTTGACAAATCATGGAAAAGGCATGACCTTAATTTCTTATGACTAATCAAAAGTGAATTACATCCAATTTAATTCTGTATGAGAGACTCTGTTCAGGGATTTACTGCCCTTCTTTTTTCCCTGTTTAAAACCTTTAGTTAATTTATCTGAACATTTTAGAGAACTACCTTTTAGAGAACACCTTATACACTCATTCCTTTCTCATTATTCATCAGCAAACCATTTCATTACCATCCCAAGAGTATTAAAACCTCATAACACTACATCTCTTGGCAAGGTCTTTTTGAACATTCATTTTGGAATATCTGCATGTACCTAAAAGCAGTTAGAGGAGTGTCGTTTGTAGTAATAGTAACAGTGGTAATAGCAGCTGTAGTAGGAGAATTATTTAAGGAAATTTTTACATGCAGCGTAGAACAACAAGGACAAAGTTGGCCCCTGGGATAACTCTGCAAAGTGCAGTAGAATTTAATTAGTGAAGAATTTGGAGTCCACAGACCAAGAAGCAGACATTATTAAAATGTCATGATTCAAAAATAGGAAGAAATGTTTACACAGATGTCTTACAGACAGATGTATGCTGACTTTATAAGTGCAACCTTTACCCTGATATATTGATTTTGGTAGGACACAATATTTCCAAACCACAAAGTCAGAATCTTTATGGATGCTGTCTGATGGTTCTGTTTGCAGCTTCAGGACTTCAGGAGGATCTTGCTGAAGACTCCCTTGCCCTTCGGATTTGTGAGGACTTTTATACTTAGTTTTGCTTTGTTGTTTTGCTGTCCATCATCTACTACTTCCAAATCAATAAAGGAAAAATTAAACATATTTCTCAACGCAGTTTCCACTATCAGCATAGAGCAGCTTACCTGTTTGACAGCATAAAAGAGCCGACCATAGCAGTACATCATGACCATTACAGGGATGACCAAGCAGAATATGAAGAGACAAATGATATAGGACGTGGACTCAGCTGACTCAGAGGACCAGCGCACCGAACAGCTGGTGCCTGCACCTTCTATCCCATAACTGCTCCATCCAAGCAGAGGTGGCACAGTCCAGAGCAAGGAATAAATCCAGGAACCGCCAACTGCCAGCAACGCCTTGCGATAGTCATCGCTGCGCTTGTTACACAGGGTGAGGGTGCTGTAGCGTTCGTAGGACAGGACAGCCAGGGAGATCAGGGACACAATGCCTGCAATGAATTAATTTAGGCAATTACTTTAATTGTTTTACATGGTAGCCACTTTAAGCCCAAAGAAATAAGACTATAAGGCTATAATTTTCCTGATTACAGCATTATTTGAAGCAGAAGTGAGAACTATTCTTATGTTTAAATCCTCCCTGGTCATCAAAAAAGAGTTTGCTTAACTTGTATTTAGCTTAAAATTTAAGGTCTTCATGCTTATAGGCTACTCCTTTTACAGGGGAATTTACAAAGAATTACATGCTTTGGTATTAACCAAGGAAATACATTTTCTGCGTGAACTGAAAAAATTGTTGAAAGATTCCCTTGCTAAGATATATTCTGTTTGTAACCTCCATGACCATTTTCAAATATTGCATTTTTTTATACATAGAAAAAGCTTCATATTCAAGATTGGGAGCCCAAAAAAGAAAGCAGCTTTTTGACACTCTGCTCCAACATCTAGACATATCTTTAGTTCTGACCATACATATAAGGCAAAATCAGACAACTCTCAGCATGAGTCTGATATGGAGAGATGTAACTTTGTTTACATATAAATGACATAATCAGTCAAAAATTGAATTAGGTTAACAATGAGCCTTGGAGACCACCATCAAAAAAAAAAAAAAGAAAAAAAAAAGGTTGATCTTCAGGGGAATTCGCAGCTGTAATTCATGTTTCTGTTCAATATTTTCCTCTCTGGAAGCATTCAAGGCCAGGCTGGATGGGGCTTTGAGCAACCTGGTCTAGAAGGAGGTGTCCCTGCCTGTAGCAGGGGGTTGGAACTAGGTACTTGAAAGATCCCTTCTAACCCAAACTATTCTATAATTCTATGAGTCTGCGTTTTGCCAATTTAACTATCAGCCTCTCCTAGAGCTCCTTTCCATGTTTGTGATGGAGATGAGTCAGACACTGACCTGGGGGTGGTAGTAGTAGTGTGTCCTGTACCTGAGCGAACCACCACCCACACATACACATGCAGGATATTTCCCACAGAAAAAACATTTCTCTTTCTCCCACAGTTCCATCACTCATTTCATCGTTAGCTGGCTGCAGGTGCAGCTATTTCTGCCATCCTAACAACAATTCACAGATACTTTGTGCAGAGCTGAGTATGGCAAAGAACCCAGTGGGAATGATTGCTTCTGGGATAGGAGAACCTATCACTCAAGGGAAGAGTGTAGTTAACAAAATATGCAAGTATTTTGCAGGGGCTCCTTGACTCATGAGAAACCATGATGAGACATGGCAAGACAAGACATGCCACACGTCTATTGGGCACAGATAACCATAGTTAAGGGTGATTGGTAGCACTGTGATATAAGGGACAACTATAAGAAGAGTGTGTTGCTTGCAATAAATGCCATTTTTATGACACTGATGTGGTGAGCGGCAAAGTGTGTGATTTGGTCGTGGCTGTCTGAGCACTTTACAATGGGACATTAATCAGAGGTTGCCGAAGCAAAGGCAACAGAAGAGAAGAGGAAAATGCAAAAGAGCACAAGGATAAGACAACTTTGGTTGAAGAAAATATCTTATGAACATACTAATTTATTTCCTTTATGGGAAATCAAAGCTACAAAGTAGATATGTTTACAGCTGCAAGAGGACACAGCTTCACTGAATTCATTTGAATTACACTGTTCAAGAGCCTAGCTTTAAACTTATTTTAAGGCCAGACTACCTGTTTCCGAGGCAATGGAAAGACATTCTGATTGTTTCTTATGTAATCTGATTTTCTACATAATATATTATTGCACCATTCTTGAAGGCCCTTGGCTATAACTTCTGCATTAAACACATACCTCAAGATGTAAATAAAAAATAAACAGCAGGCTGTGAATTACAGACTCAAGAACAAAGGATCTTCTGCAATATTTTGCTCCTGGTCCACACGTATTTATCTTCACTTTCTTAGCATTGCCTCTTCCCATGCTTTTATCTGCTTGACTAAAGAGCATCTTGCTATCAGAAACATTTATCTCACATAGATACCCAGGGTACCTAGGGCAAAAATCCAGATTTTATATTTGAAACTTCAATCTCAGTAAAGTGATATGGATCTAGTTGTGCATTTCAGATTAGACCATCGTGTACTAAGAGAAAGTAGTCTAGGCTAACAGAAATTCTCTCCTCCCAGCTGAGTGCTCTACAGATACGTTCTATTACTCCTGTGCTACTTCTGATGGTAAATGAGGGCACAATACTCCCATTTTGATGAGGTGGCAGATGAGATGTGCTTTCGTTGGTAACAGCCTACAGCCTTGAGGGCACAGTGTTGCTTAGAAGGTCTGAATCAGCTGTTCAAATTTCCCTGACTCAGAACCTTGCTACCTGAATATAACAACTGGCCATGCATGCAGGATTGGTCTCTTTGAGAACAGATCAGTGCTCAGTCATTAAATTAGGACCACAGCAATGTCAGTCAAAACTAAATTAAGCATTTACAATCAGACTAAAAACACAAAACACTTCATACCATTTCCTTTATGTAAGTGCAAATAGTTTTTCTTCTCTATACATGTGAAGATTGGAGACTCTTATTTGCACCTCTTGGCAGGAGTTATTTCATATTTACTCACCTTTTATTACCGAGTTCCACTGACACGACACACATTACATTTTTTTTTTCTGGAGTATAGGAACTCTGATATATAGAGTTCCAAGCCATAAAAGTTCAAAAAAAAAAAAAAAAATCAATATTTTTATTTTTCTTTTTGTTGCAGTAAGGCCTGTGTTATACCTGGATTTTCAATAACGCTGCAATTAACACCACTCTGCACTGATCTCTGATGCTTCCCAAAAGAGACAACATTGAATAACAGCAATATAAGAACCACATCAAGAAATAACCTTTCTCCAAGACCATACTTGGCTATGAACCTGAATAACTGGGTAATTGATTGAATGACAGGCAGGCCTCCTCTGTTGGACTGAAACAACATAATTTCCTAAGACAGACAATGCCAGGTTTTGTGATCAAATTGTAGTTTGAGACAGAAGGAAAGTGAGGAAGAGGAACCAGATGTGCTTTCACTGAGCAGCAGACATGTTCTCTGTTCCCTCAGTGGGCAGGAATCCGCTGGTGGTGCAAGAGCATCAAAGCACCACGTGCCTAAAACAAACCTACTGATCCAGCTGCCATCCTGGAGGGGTTGCTGGGCTGACCCTTGCATGCATTTTTTCCTTCACCCTGAAAGATCGTGATGCTATAAGAGCATATTTCAGCATTCTCTTCAGATGTCACTCAGTGCTCACTGGACTGTGAAAAGAACTTGTAATCCAGAGTGGATAAAGTGGAACAAAGATTTTTACTTTTCGTTCTGCCTCCTATCTTTGCATATCAGAGTTTCCTTAATGCCATATGCACTGAACTGTTGCGGCCTTTGCCTGAAACCCTGCCATTATCTGCTATTCTATTTTACAATGTGTCTGCTGCATTCATAGGAATTAATGAGAATACTGGCTTTAAAAACGAAAACAACAAAAAAATTAAATATTTTAGAATTATGGTTTAATAAAACCTCCATAATCTTAATAATAAGAAAAGAAACTAAAAATAAAATAAAATAAAAATCAAGTTATAAAAAGAGGAAAGTAATCATAATTTAAAGCTAATTGCAGTGCTTTATCCCCACGCTCCATTCTTAATTTACAGGGATATTTATGACTCTACTATGCTACTCTGCATATATTAATTTCAGATGAGTAATGTTTTCTAAAATTACAACAATATTAAGTTCTGGAATTGCACATCTAAATAGAGTTTGCCTCCAACAAATATTTAGGGCCCTGAGCTGGTGCCTAGCCAGATAACTCTGCAGGAGTTAACTACAATGAGGGATGTAATTTGCTCCCTCAACATTCCATGCATATACAGGAACCAAGTGAGGTTCTTTATAAACAGAACTGAAAGATGACATAATAATAAAAAACAAACAAACAAAAAAACCCAACCCCACCAGAAATTGCATTACAGGACCAAATTATTATTTAAAAATTAGCCATAGAAATGAATGACTTTGAGATGAGCTGAGTATGAGGCATGAAGCTTTTCTACACAGCAATTAGTTTGCAAGAAACTAAATTAAAGTCATAAACCAAGACAGGCATTCATTTATAGGAATACCATCTGAGACATTATCCATTATTTACTTTTACTTAAAGATCCATGCATTTATTCCTAGAAGCACAGCAAGAGTATGTCACCAGGTGAAGGACACAGCAAATTACTACACTCTGTTCCTGTGAGTCTCAGCTAAAAGCATTACATTTTCATATTAGTTATTTGCTATTTTACACTGCTCGCTATGATGAAGTAATTGGAAACAGCATGCAGTCTGCCAATGATCCGTAGGTTACAAAAAACTGAGAATCCCAGAGATTCTCATATTGGGTAAGCATTTTGATGACTGCCTTTGTGTACATTTTTCCTCCTGAAGCTTCTCAAGGTCATCATGGTTAGGTTTCTGGAGCAATACAGTTGGACGATAGAACACATAGTCTGTATTGTACTCTGATTATGAATGGCCATTGGCAATGTAAGGAAGTGTCAGCTAAGCTTAAGCAAACTGAGCTTGTAGAAAAGCAAACAAACCTTCTTCTGCAAGATATTAATGGATCAAAAAGAGATGCCATCTCTTACAAAAGGCAAAGAAAATTTTACTAGACCAAACCGTGCAAATTGATTCCACACTCTCACACTCATTCTCTTATATTTCACTCACTCACACAAACCCACAAGCACACAACTCTGTGTTCAAGAGATCAGTCTCCTTTGTGCAGCAAGAACAAGGGACTATACATTTATCAAACCTCCTACAGATTTACAAATTGCTTTTGAAATAAAGATTTTGTACAACTTTGGAGTCCACTGTCCTCATGAAGTGGTCCATGCTTGGTTTCATTGCACCCTGCCTATATCCCCCCTATGTTTCAGTCAAGGCTGTTGCTTCTTGTTTGTATTTCTTTGCTTGGAAAATGTGCCTGCCAAGAATATACTCACC